GCTGAGCCATCTCTCCAGCCCTAGATATTTTCTTAAAATGAAATGTGTCTCTGCATGTTGATATATATAGGTCAGAGGAAATGTTGGAGTTGCTCTCTCCTGAAGTTCTGGATATTGAATTCAGGTCATTCAACTTGATAGCAAGTATCCTTGTCCACTGAGCCATCTTGTCAGTTTTTTGAGATAGGGTCTCATTCTGTAGTTTGGACTGACCTGAAACTCATAGTGATCCTCTGCCTTAGCTTCCTGTGTGTTAGGATTAGAAACATACACCATCATGCCTAGCTGATTATGTTAGATATAATTATGTTATGATCAGCATACTTTTATTTATTTATTTGTTTGTTATTTGAGACAGGGTTTCCTATAACTAGTTGGCCTGGAGCTGAATATGTAGTTGAGGATATCCTTGGATTCTTGTTCCTCCTGCCTCTTGAGTTCTGGGATAATGAGTGTGTGCCTTTAAGATGGTCTTACTCTGTAGCCTAGGAGCCTAGGCTAGTCTAAAATTCATGAAATAGCCCTGACTGTCCTTGAACTCAAATTAATCCTACTGTTTTAGTCCTGGGATTGCAGGTATGAGCCACACCCAGCAGCTCCTTGTAGTGTTGTATAAGGTACTGTCCCTCCAGCTGTTAATGTCATGTTCCAGTCACATAGCTTGAGCAGCTAAGGTAATATCTCTAATGATTGTTCCATGGTTTATTGCCCTCCATGGGATCTTTATTGGTGAACATACTATGTTCATGTCTTCTTGACAGTTGTAGTGTGTAGTGATCTGTAAATACCAGCTGCTGGATGTTGTCCAGATCGTTTGTTTGCCGACTGTTCTTGCCACATTGTTCTGTAGGTTTTGTAGCATGATTATGTTAGCAAAGATTGGTAAGAGACTAGATGTGGTGCACACTCGTAATCTTAGCCCTTGGGAAGCAGAGTACAAGAATTGGGGGTTCAGGATCAGCCTCAGCTATATAGTAAGTTCAAGGCTAGCCTGGACAACATGATATATCCCTCACAAACACACATATTCTCACACCCTGGACAACCTGGAACTGTTAAACATACCCCAAGGTATTCTTCCAAGTGGACTCTGAAATTACATATATATGCAGAGAATTCTATATAACAATAAAAAGAAGTGACTAGTTAAATACTATGTAGCAAATCTGCTAAATGCATCTGTGAAAAGGAGTGGAAAGTATACTGTCATAGGAAGTTTTCCTTGAGGCATTGTTAAATAAAAAGGGTAAGTTGCTGAGTTATTTGTGTAATGTGTTACTTAGTTTAGAGAGAGAATATAGGCTGAATCAGCCATTACATTTGACACACTGCTTAAAGGAGACTGGAATCTAAGACTGGTTGCTTTATACAGAAGTATAGATGACTGGGCAATGGAAATCACAGGGACATCCACACCGCCCCCCCCCCTTTTTTTTTTTTCCTGAGACAGGATTTTTAACAGTCCTGGCTGTCCTGGGACTCTGTAGACCAGACTGGCCTTGAACTCACAGAGATTTACCTGCCTCTGCCTCCTGAGTGCAGGATTAAAGGTGTGCACCACCACTGCCCAGCACAGGGACATCATTTTTATACTTTATTCATGTAATTTAAAATCTTCTATTATGCATATATTATCTAATAAAAGAATAACATTTTTTAGGCCAGGTGGTGGTGGTACAAGCCATTAATCCCAGCACTCAGGAGGCAGAGGCAGGTGGACCTCTGAGTTCGAGGCCAGCCTGATCTACAAGAGCTATTTCCAGGACCATGCACCGAAGCTACAGAGAAACCCTGTCTCGAAAAAAATCAAAAAAAAGAAGAAGAAGAAGAATAGCATTTTTAGAGATTGATATTGTGGTACATTCCTCTTTAATTCCAGCACTTGGAGTATGAGTTGGAGGTCAGCCTAGTCTACAAAACCAGTTCCAGGCCAGCCAGGGATACTTAGTCAGACCTTTTCTATATTTAAAAAGAAAAAAATGGAAAGAAAGAAAAAGGTAATATGTTTTCTAGTCTTAACTTTGTCTTCCATGTTCTCTATATTGGTGCAGACTGAGCGCCAGGTGTCTCGATGGTTTGTTCAGTGCCTCCGGGAGCAGTCCATGCTGCTAGAAATTATTTTCCTCTATTACGCATACTTCGAGATGGCACCTAGTGACCTACTGGTACTAACCAAGATGTTCAAGGAGCAAGGATTTGGTAGTAGGCAGACCAATAGACACCTGGTGGATGAAACCATGGATCCTTTTGTAGATCGGATTGGGTGAGTCTGCTTGAGTTGTGGTTTATGAAACTTGCAATGTTTAGACCATTGGTATTGGCGTGGCTCTGTCAAGATGGAGAGTTAAGGTTGTCCCTTTCATTGAGTGGGTAGGAAGGGGGTGCATGTGCTGGCGTGTTCCTGTTCATAGTCTGTCATTAAGGGACTTGTTCTCTCAAAACTCTCCTATTCTTTTTTTATTTTAACATTTAATTTTGCTTTTGTAAAAAGAATGTGTGTTTTATGTATGAGTGTTTTACTGTCATGCATGTATGTGTACTATTTGTGTGGCTGGTGCCTATGGAAGCAACAAGAAGGTATTGAATCCCCTGAAATTGGTGTTCAATTGGTTGTGAGTCACCATTTGAGTGCTGGGAACGGAACAGGGTCCTCTGGAAGAGCAGCAAGTGCTCTTAGCTGCTGAGCCATCTCATTACCCCCAAAACATCCTTTTTGTTGGTTTGTTTTTCAAAACAGGATTTCTCAGTGTAGCCCACGCTGTTCTAGAACACGCTCTGTAGAACCAGCTGGCCTTGAACACAGGAATCCACTTGTCTCTGCCTCCCAAGTGCTGGGATTAAGTGTGCACCTCCATGCCCAGCAAAGACATTCTGTTTTAATCAAGATTTTTTAAAAAGATTTTATTTATTATATATAAAGTGTTCTGCCTGCATGTAGACCTGCAGGCCAGAAGAGGGCACCAGATCTTATTACAAATGGTTGTGAGCCACCATGTGGTTGCTGGGACTTGAACTCCAGACCTCTGGAAGAGCAGTCAGTGCTCTTAACCTCTGAGCCATCTCTCCAGCCCCCATTCTGTTTTAGTCTAAGAGGGTCGTTCATCCATTCAACTGGAGTACCTTCTGAGCAGCTCCTGGAGGCACAGTGCAAGTGCCTTGATGACACTGATAAGCAAGATGTGTATTCTTTGTCTTCTGTGAAGTCACTGTCTGTAGCCTATGAATTCATTTTTTCTTTACTGCCTTGGATATATCTATATGTTGAGACCTATTTTCTCAGTGAGTGAGAGCTGGGTCAGGTGTAGGTTGTAGCTATGGAAACCTTCAGTGCTAGTTCTGAGCTGCCCTGAATAATAGACACAGCCACAGGTCAGTGTCAAGTCCTTGAAATTGAGATATGCTAGAAACAGGAGCATAAAGTACATTCCAAGGGTCTGAGATGCAGCTTGAGTTGTGGAATGCATGGTTGGCACACACAGGCCCTGGGTTTGGTCCTCTGTCTTTAAAAGCTAGTGATAACAAAGAATGTGAAAAGACTCATTAATAACTATTGATATTGAGTGTCTTACATCTTCAGTTCAGCAGATTCAGAAAACCATGAATGAGACTGTGGTGTGGTTTGTCCTTTCCAGGTACTTCAGTGCCCTTATCCTAGTGGAGGGCATGGATATCGAGTCCTTGCACAAGTACGCGTTGGATGACAGGAGAGAGCTGCACCAGTTTGCTCAAGATGGGCTTATTTGTCAGGTGAACTTAGAATAACATTTTTTTTCGGGTGGTTTATAGTTTTTTTGTTTTGTTTTGTTTTGTTTTGTTTTGGGGGCGGTTAGAGACAGGGTTTCTCTGTGTAACAGCCCTAGCTGTTCTGGAATTAGCTCTGTAGCCCAGGCTGGCATCGAACTCACAGAGATCTGTCTGCCTCTGCCTCCCGAGTGCTGGGATTAAAGGCATGGGCCACCATTGCCCAGCAGTTTATAGTTAGTCTTTAGCCACTGAACTATCCTGATGTACAGCATTTTTAGTTCTGTATTTGTAATCAGGTCTGGGAGAAGTCAGAGTTATTGTGCAGAGATGATAATTGATTCTGCAATAGGGAGTAGGTCGCTAACAGGTAGCCCCAGGACAAAACCTTTGGCAATATGGGCATTTGTGGGGTTTGTGCAAAAGAAAAAGATGAATACTGACTTAGAATGAGTAGAAAGACAGAAAGTGAGAATCATGCAAAGTTCAAGAAGTATCAGGTTGATAACTTCTAATTCTCTATTTGAACATGGATTTTGAAATTTTAAACTTAGATTATAACAAAATCAGTAGAGAGAATTGTGGTGAAGTAGGAGTGATCGGGTATATCAGCAAGGTGGTTGGGTGAAGATATGTGCAGTGTTGGTGCAGGAGAAGCTTGCTGAGATTGAGAGCATGCCTGACTGGATCTGGACCTCTCCTTTTCATGGACACACATGTTTTCTACCCTCATTAGGATATGGATCGTGTGATGTTGACCTTGGGAGACATTCCACATCATGCCCCTGTACTTTTGGCCTGGGCTCTCCTCCGTCACACACTGAACCCTGAAGAGACCAGCAGTGTGATCAGGAAGATCGGCGGCACAGCCATCCAGCTGAATGTGTTTCAGTACTTGACTCGACTGCTTCGGTCACTGGCCAGTGGGGGAAATGACGTGAGTTGTATATGAGGACGGAATGCCTGGAGAACAATGACAACTGTGACTTGGGTTGTTGTGATTTTTATTCTTTATTGAGATAGAATCTCAGTATATTGCCCTGGCTGGCCTTGAACTCACGGCCTCCTGCTGTAGCCTCTCAAGGGCTGGAATTGCAGGCATACACCACTGTGCCAGCTTTGTAACAAAGTTTTCCCTGGCATTTGTAGGTGGTTGACAGTGTACTTGGCACTCCCCAGTGGCATCTTAGTCTTTATAGCACAGCTCTGCTTGGAGTACCATCTGACTTACACATTAGAAAACCCAGGAAGGTGTAATTTCTCCCAAGCAGTAATACTGAGCAAATAGTAAACAGTTTGAATCGATGATGAATTTGACTCTTGACCTGTGGGTCCTGAACCCTTTAGGGGTTCAATGACCCTTTCACAGGGGTCATCATTGACCACCAGAAAGCACAGATATTTACACTATGATTCATTACAGTAGCAAAATTACAGTTATGAAAATAGCAATAAAATAATTTTATGGTTGGGGGTCATCACAACCTCAGGAACTATATTAAAGGGCTGCACATTAGGAAGCTGAGAGAACCACTGTTCTAGAGTGTGACTGGGAACTCAGAGAATGAGTGAGAAACTTCTGAGGCTTGATTGGGGTTCAGATAGAGTTCGCCTGGTTTATTGAGTCAACTCATACGGATGTGCTAAAGTGAGACATGAGGAACAGGCTCAGTGGTCAGGTGCTTACCTAGCATGCATCTGGCCTAGAGTTAATCTGCACCGCCAAACAAACAAACAAACAAACAAACAAACCAATAAATACAATTTAAGAAAGCAAAATGAAAATGGAGTTTTGGAGGTTGTAATTATTGGCTTTTTCTCCCTACTGAGTAGGAGACTGTTCATGGAAGAACTTCTTCACAGATGTTTGTAGTGTCATTGTCACAATTACCTGCATAGTCGCCAGAATATAGAACTGGGGAAATGCCCTTTAGTAGTTACAAGTAAACTCTGACAGTAGGACAGTGGATAGCTCTTCACTGTTAAGAAGAAGCCATGAGAAAACATGGAATAGGGCTGTAGATACCGCTCCATTATACAACACTCATCTAGCATATGTGAAGCCTTGGGTTTGAGTCCCAGTCATCCTGGCCCATACCCCATTGAAAAATAGAGAATTCTGATGCATACATATTCCTAAGTAAAAAAAAGTATATTTGAGGAAGCCACATAGTGTATGTCTCTAGCAGTGTGACATGCTGGGAACTGTCACATGAGCAATTGCTGCCAAGGATGAGTTGGGAGGAAGGAGACGAATAAGCCACATGGGATTTTTAGGACAGTATGACAGCTCTGTCTGGTGTCAGCCGATAGTTGTTCTGAAAGCTACTCTTTGAGGCTGGGGACTAAGCTTAGTAGAGTATGAGCCCAGCCATTGTTCCATGAGACCTTAGGTTCAAACCCTGGACCACAGAATTTTAAAAAAGAAATTTGTTGGACTGGAGGGATGGCTCAGAGGTTAAGAGAACTGACTGTTGTTCCAGAGGTCCCAATTCTCAGCAACCACATGATGGCTCACAACCATCTATAATGAGATCTGGTGCCCAGAACACTATATACATAATAAATAAATTAAAATAAAAAGAAAGAAATTTGTGTGCCAGGCGGTGGTGGTACACACCATTGATCCAAGCACATGGAAGGCAGGGGCAGGATCTCTTGAGTTTGAGGCCAGCTGCTCTATAGAGTTATTTCCAGGACTGTCTTGGCTACACAGAGAAACCCTGTCTCAAAACACAAACAAGACAAAAAGAAAAAGAAAAAAAAAGAAAAGAAAAGAAATTAGTTGTAAAACAGAAACCAGCCATTAGGCAGTTCTTAGTACTGCAGGTTGGTAGATAGTGGTGTCTCATTTGAATTAGTTCATAGAGTCTCTAGTAGGTAGCTAGTCTCTTGGCTAGATGTGGTTTTCTTTTTATCCACAAAAACTTTGGTCATTTTGAGTTTGGTTTTATTCCTGTGTCCTAATCTCGTAACTAAATTAGAAAAATTATTAAAGTTTATGATTCCTTTTACATTTGTTTTCAAGGACTCTATTGCTCTGAAGGCTGAGTCTTGGAAAGAGTTGTGTTGCTCAGATTTAGTCACTCACTCCTTTGTCATTCCAGTGCACCACGAGCACCGCTTGCATGTGTGTCTACGGCCTCCTCTCCTTCGCTCTGACCTCACTGGAGCTCCACACGCTGGGCAATCAACAGGTCAGTAATTGGCTTTCCTTAGGCTTCCTGACTGCCCCACATTTACACTCAGTCATGACACTGCCCCCTCAGATCTCATACATCTTGTTTCGTTACTTACTATTTGTTTTCTTTTATTATTGTATGAATGAGATGTAAATTGTAGCAAGTTCAGAAAGTGATAGAAAAGATATAATCCTATCACACAGGATGAGATTATATTATTACATATATTTATATATTATGTGTATAATACACACATATTCTGTTAGCCGTTGGATTTGTCCTTTCCATTTTACACACAGATACTCTAAATTCTAATATAATTCTGTATTAGAATAATGGTATGTATATATGAAATTAGCTCTGGGTTACTGATTCTACCTAGCATGTAAATAGTTATGCTATCATGTACAGAGAATAACTATAGAGGAAAGGTGCGTGTTTGCTACACAGACATGATTCTTTGTCCTGTCTCCTTGTATTTTGAGATGCAGTCTCATTTTATAGTCAGGTGGGACCCAGGCTGGGCAACCCAGACTGCTCTCAACCTCCCACAAGGTGCAGACACTTTCCTCAATGGTTTTGGTTCATGGTTGGCTGAGACTGTGGATGTACAGCCTGACAATTTAAGAAACCATGTATTTTGGTGTTTTTGTTTTCTTTGTTTTGTTATGGAACTGGTTCTCACTATATTGCTGGATGGTCTAGAACTTAGTTTGTAGACAAGGCTGGCTCTGCACTCAGAGATTTGCTTGTCTCTGCCTCCTGAGTGCTGAGATTCAAAGTAGGCACTACCTCTCCTGTCCACTGTGTCTGACATTGCTCAAGGGGATCAGAGGTCAGTAGTAACTACTGAGTATAGGTGTGCACACCATTTCTAGCTTTACTCTTTGAAAATTTTTAAATTTAAAATTATAAAAAATGATTTTAAAATAATTTTATCGTACGTAGATACATGGTATATGTGTGCATGCATGTGCATGAGCAATTGTTTCCGTGTGGTGGTCAGAGGGCAACTTTTCAGTCAGTTCTCCCTCCCACCATTACATGGATTCTGGGTTGTCAGGCTTGTGGAGCAGTATTTCCCTCTCAACTGCATCTGTGGCTCTCTAAAGCTTTTTTTTTTTTTTTT